TTTTATTTAGTACCTTTTGAATTTTAAAATACAATTTAACGTAAATCCTAACACCAGTAGAAGTCAGTTTATATCATAATTCTCATGTTTTAATTCATATCAAATCCAAAAATATATATAATCAGAATTTAAATCATATTCTTAATAACACAAAAAATATATTTTAATCCACTATGAATATTTATGAATTTTGTGATAGAAATAAAAACAATTAAAATACTACATAGTTAAATCAGAAAAAGTAAAATATATGTTAGTTACCTCATAAAAAAAACTACAAATGATGTTGTGAACCATTAAATAAGTACATGATTGATAATTGTATTTTATTAATGTCATCGTTTTATTTCTCATAAAGGTTTATACTCGCCAAACTTTATACAGTTTTAACTTCATAGTAAATATAATATTATTATTTTTTTACTTATATAATTTTCAATATATACACTTGGAGAGTACCAATGGCGTCATAGGTCAAAAATTTCTATTTTCTTTGTGATATTCTATATTGATAAAATAAGTATTTTTATAAATTCTTTTTATTATTTTATTTTTGCATAGTTATGTATATCTTTAAACTTTTGAATTGCGGTTTCTATAACCTTTCTAAATTTTGTTTTGTCAATTTATCTACGTTTTTTTATCATTCATTTTTTAATTATTTTAATTGACATTTTTCTTCTGTATGTATTATTTGTTTATTTTATGGCTTATGTAATGTCTATATTTCATCTTAAATTTTGTTTCTTAATTAGTATGGATACTATTAGAAATTTTACTTTTTATTATTTGATTTGTAATTTGACAACTACTTTTTATTTTAAATCTTATTTTTCTTAATTAATTTTAATTTTTAACACATTTATCATCTAATCAATATTAGATACATTTCGCGATATCGTGAGTTATAATTTTGTTTACATGTCATGCTTATATAAAAATGAATTGCGGTAAATAATTTTGACTTTAAAATTTATAACGCCTATAATTTGACAAATGTAATTAGATTCTAAATTATGAATGACACA